ATATTATTTTTCCCCGTTTGGCTTTTTCCCGCGGGGGGCTTGCGGTGTGTCGAAGAAGCCGGCGCGCTCCCAGGAGCTGGGATTATTTGCACAACGTCTGTATATTGAGTTCTCGATCCTGTTTTATTTTTATTTTTTAAGCGCAGAGGAATTGTTGGGGTTTTTTTTCCTCTCCACGACACGCTTTTCTTGGGTTTTTCCCCCACCGCCGTCAGCACCCGTCACACCATGGCCCGGATGAACCGCCCTGCGCCAGTGGAGGTCTGCTACAAAAACATGAGGTTCCTGATCACCCACAACCCCACCAATGCCACGCTCAGCACCTTCTTGGAGGTAAGGAGGGGAGGCTGGAAGCAGGGGACCGGGGCCCAGCTGCGTGTTTTGGGGCTAAAAGCCAATGTTGAGATGCAACAGGGATCAATCCTGTGTAGGATGAGGCAGCAGCACATCCCCTTTGGTACCACGGCCCTCGGTGGCATTCCGGGGCGGTGGGTCCAATCACTGCCGGCTAATTGGGGTAGGATGTTTTGGAGGACCCCAAGCATGGTGTTTGGGCATGGCAGAGATGGAGCAGAGTTTCCCCGTTCCTGTTGCATCCCCTGCCAGCTCCACCAGCACAACACGTGAAGGGGCTTTGCAGTGATGCACATGGATCCCCTGCATCTTCCAGCATCTCGATATTTCATCCCAAATATCCCAGCGTCTTTCCAATGCCCGGAGTGCACTGGGCAGTGCGCAAGGAGTTGGAGAGCTCGGTGTTGCATGAACCAGCGATGGTGCCCTGCCTGGGAGCGCTGCCTCCGGCACTGGCAGCTGCCAGGATTTAGGGAGGGATTAATGGTCTGCGGTCCAGGGTGAAAGGCTTCGACTTTTTTTATCGGTGCCTGCGGGGAAGGCAACATCCTGCAGGTTCAGTCGAGCCGGCACAAGCAGCTTCTGCTTACAAGGAGGCATTTTGGGATGTTCTGCCTTCGTCAGGGGACCTGGGGCTGTGTGTGAGCCTGGCAAAGGGTTTTTGCCTTAGACCTAAACCTTGAGGTCTGATGTGCTGGCACCAGAGGCATCCTCTGATCTCAAGGAAACCCTCCCAGTGCACACCCGAAAAAACAAGTGTGAGTGCCGCCGGCTTGGAGAGCCACAGGAAGGTGGTTGGGATTTGGGGATGGCCACCCCACTCCCTGCATGCTGCACACAAGGCGATGGGCACGGCACGGTGGGAAGGGGGGAAATTCCCCTTTCCTCCAGCTTCTTAGATTTTTGGCTGAGCTGCGACGTGTGTAGGGGTTTGCTGTGGTCTGGCGAGCGCATATGGGGAAGGAAGGAGATGGATCATTGAAGGGGATGATCTCACGTGGTGCCCGTGCGGCCGGTTTGCCGGCACGTAATCTGGGGGCAATCCGTGCGGCGGGCGATAAGCCATGCTGGAAAGAGCCCAGGTCCCACACCCAAGCCTGCAGTGCATTGGAGTCATGACGGGATACGGCAACGAGGTCAAGAAGGAGCCCCTGAGCAATCTGCAGGATGCTGAGCACGATCGGCGAGGTGCACTACAACCCCCCCAGCCGCCTCCGTGCATTTCTGCAGCGGGAGTTGCGACCTCACCAGGCGCAAATAATTTCTCCTTTGGGGGATTTGCACCCGTGTCAGGGATGTTTCTTTGCCTGGGGTGTAAAGTCCCTGCTGGTGCGGCCATCGGGGCTTAAAAATAAACAGCCCCGTTGGCACTGATGACTCCAAGGAGTCATGAAGGTGCTGGGTAACAATCCTACTGTGGCCACGCAGCTTTAGTGCCCTGGGATTTAATGTTTCCTTGTGCTTCCCAGGCTGGATGGACCACGGAGGGGTTTGCTCAAGGGTCCAGAGATAGGGCACGGCACTGTTTTAGGGTCCGTAGGGGTCCGTGTGGTCATAGCAGGGCTCGGATGTGTTGGGGTTAAGTGGGGTGCGACTGGCAGGGTTTTTTCAGACCCCTCCTTCTTCCCTCCCCAGGACCTGAAGAAGTACGGTGCCACCACGGTGGTGCGAGTGTGCGAAGTGACCTACGACAAGACCCCCCTGGAGAAGGACGGCATCACTGTCATGGTAGGTGGGCGGCGGGATGGGTGCTGGGGGAGCTGCCCGCCCCTTCTGCTTAAATATCCCCATCCCTGGGGTCTGCTAAACACCCCGCCTCCTTCTTCCCTCCACAGGACCTGAAGAAGTACGGTGCCACCACGGTGGTGCGAGTGTGCGAAGTGACCTACGACAAGACCCCCCTGGAGAAGGACGGCATCACTGTCATGGTAGGTGGGCGGCGGGATGGGTGCTGGGGGAGCTGCCCGCCCCTTCTGCTTAAATATCCCCATCCCTGGGGTCTGCTAAACACCCCGCGTTTCGGATAGACCAAATCGGCATCGTGCTTGCCCAGGAGCAGGGTTTGAAGCCCAACTTCATCCTCGGGGCGAGGCGGGCGAGCTCCCCGCTCCCCGGGGCTGAGATGGGGCTGGTGCTTTAAAAAAAGAA